GCTGATAATAGAAGTTGGTGTAGTTTTACTACTGCTCTGGAAAGCTGTTGGACATCTTAAGCTGGAGGTGCAATTGTTGCTTGACTTTGCATCAGAGGGCATTTTTACACATGCTGGGAAGGGGGGTGTTAATTAGAGCGGCTCCGAATGAGCTTTAGTTAAAGTGCCCCTGCCACCATTTTGAATCACAGGGACGCTGATATACGAGATGTGGAGGCTAACTGAAGCATGGTACTTACCGTGGTCCAGCAGACTCAGTTAATCAAGTCTGCTTTGACGCGCTGTAATTACAACACATTGGAGCAGCATCCCAGCTCATGTACAGACACCCGGGGATAGCTTCCTTCTTCAGTCAAATGTTGCCTAATGCTAGACCTCTTTGCTAGTTCCACTCAGTGCTTCTCTCTCAATGATGGTGCCCTACTGAACTCTTGTTCTGTCATTCATGCAAACGCCAGTCAAAAAGCGTTCACTCAAAACCTGCTAAATTTTGTCTTAACTTTTTTTCTTCTTTTTTCCTAAGGAGGCAACCATAGTCTGACAGTCTGTACCAGAGGAAAGCGCAACCTTCTCTTTTCATTCAGGGTTTTGCAGAGGCCCTTACTAGTTTGTCCAGAGTAACAGAAGTCCTGCCCTACTTCTTACCTTTGCTAGATAACATCTTTGACTTTTGGGGCCCATTTATTTTGTCAAAAGTAATACAAACACCACTACCATAACGACCTGCTTAGTGGGGAAGTTTCTTCCAACCCCCACCATCTGAAGTCCTAAAGCATTAGAATGTATATCCATTATACACTTTTACTCAGGTTTCTACAAGTGTTCTCTCTATCCCTGTAAATGTCCAAGCCTCTTCAAATCCTGCTAACATCTTGGCTTCAAGAAAAACTAATACAAGTAAATTCCACAGGTTGGCAAATTATCAGGTTTTTGTCTTGGAAATGCTACTTAATTCTTACTTTCCTTGAGTACTTAAGCTGAAGTAAAAGAAAATGAGTATCCTCTCTCTCCAAGAGAGCTCTCTTCTCATTGCCACAAAATTCCTTCCAATTCAGTTATATAAAATAAAAAAAAAAAAAAATCAAATAATGCTGCTGCGAAACCTGTTCTGTGTACACCCAAGACTAAATGCAAAGAAGAGGATTCCTTTTAATGCTAATGTACTTCTTGGCCTTCTCTGGCAACACAAGGTCCCAGGATTATCTTGCAGGATGTCATTGTACATTGCCTGAAACAGTAATCAGCCATCAGTCTGACCTGTTCTATTGTTGCCTTTCAGCAATAAATCTACATAACCCCTATTATCTCTGTCTATAAAGCCTCTGACCAAAACCCAGATTTGAGGAGAAGTTACAGCACTAGGACACAGTTCTGAAAACACCTAAAGGTTGTACAGTTTATACAGTGCCTAACACAATGGCCAATATAACCAAGTCCTCAAAGCTACTATAATACAAACAGTACAGGAGATTTAGCTAATTTTGTTGCAGCAGGACTTCAGTAACTATCTGTTACTGCATCTATTTCAAACTTGCTCTGGAATAGACTGCCATTCCAGCCACAGATGCACATGCAGTAAAGAGCACCAAAAATGTGATATTAATGCATGTCCAAATGTTCATTCAGAACAAATGAGTGGTCACATTTACCGTGAAGTATAGTGAGTCAGCTGGAAGGACAGCTGAATCACAATAGAAAAACATCAGCCCAGGGCTCAGGTGACTTGAGAGACTGCACATGACATGCCTTCCTGGAAAGACTGAGAACACAGCTGCACCCAGCTAAGAATTTTCTGTACTGCTGTGTATCAGATTTTGACTGCACATTCTGTTCCTAAATAACAAGGCTGGTTGGGATTTCTTTTACTTAACTTTTTTGTCAGAATATACCAAACTATAGAGAAGGTTTTTCTGAAGCAGGATGGACTTTCAGTGGAAGGAGGAAAAGATGATACTCCCCAAAATAGCTAACCCAGCCTGGGGCTTAAGGAGAACCAGGTTCGAATCCACACTGCTGTTGGAGATGTTGGAACACCATTTTGTAAGAAGAATTAACTGTGAAGACTCTTTGGGATATCAGCTGATGTGGCAAACTGTATGCTTTTCCACAACAGCAAAAAGTTTTCCAAACCATCACACATTCCTAAACCTTGCAAAACAAATGTTATCTGGCCTTCCCTATTAAAAATGATAATCTTTAAAACAAGCCTCTGCAAAACACTGGAAAAAGCAAAGCCTGTTACAGGTCTGTAAATGTACTATTATTAAAACAGTTTACTTCAAAACAGAAGCAGAAAGGTGAATGAATGAGTGAACAATGAAATTCTCTTATTGCTGGCAGTGGACAGGTTCCCATGACTGACAGATGGAGAATTGAATATGCATTCTGCCGTGTTGTTCTTGTGTGATTGAAAGCAGCAGCTGCCAAAAATGTTTCAAAATATACTTCTTATCCAATATGCAGTTCATTTTCTTAAAACTGCTTTTAGCCCTGTAACCAGACCTCAACTGCCAGCTTGTGGAACAGACTGAGCCCTTATTACAATTAAGACCATTCAACATTTGGCAGGGTTTTTAAAATTAAAATAAAAGTGAGAATGCTTGCAGGGATAATGTCTTCAGCATCTACCCCAAAACCTGGTTAACTGGAGTGTTACCAGTTCAAACTTCATCTTTGTTAAAATTCTGAGTGATGATGAAAAAAGCATGGAAACATAAAGCAAAGGGCCGAAATTAATAATGAATAATGTGCCCTTAGTTTTTTCTGTCCCCATCACAGTGGTGTCATATAGTATTACCACATCACAAACAAAACTACTAAAGAAAAATCAGATTATGCTCCCATACTTCAGCCAGTCATAACATGAAAATAAAATGCTTCTCACAATGTATAGATTTTGCATAACATCTTTCATCTTTCTTGTGCACGTCAATAAGCAGTGAAATAAGTCAACAATGCTTAAGCTGTCATTAGGACTTGGTTAAAATCTTAGGGCCTGCTGTAATGTCCAGTAAAGTTTGTCTGCAAGAATAGGATCTGAAGTAGTGAAATTTCTCCCAAACAGAATTACCTAAACCCAATTATGCTTAAGGAAACTGTGCAAGCAAGTGGTAGTAGTGTATTTCTTGTGGCAGATACAGTAAAAATCGAATAGGTGCGTTTGGAAACCCTTGCAAAAATAAAAAAATAAAATAAAATGGTGAGTTTTCCTTTCAATGAGACCTTGTCCTGGAAAACATGAAAGCCTACAAGGTGACCTTAACTGTAGACTATGCATAGAGGGGTTAACTCAAGTCCCAGAGACCTAAAGTAGCTGGATCATAAGATCCCATTTCCAAAAAGGGAGTTAAGAAAAACCAAGTGTGCACCCAGAAGAGGCAGTGTTGCAGCCTACTCAGACCAAGAGAAGCCTAGAAGCACAGAGGACTTGGTTGATGGGACCCAAAAACAGCAGCCTAGTGAGCATTTAAGCTGGGAGAGCTCCAATAGGTGTTGGAGACTGGATGAACAGGAGTGTTTCTCATCTCTTTCAGCTATTGCATAGTTGCATTGATTTAAATGTTAATGTACAGCTACATAGGATAGAACTTTAAACTTTTTAATTTTTGTAAATAAATATAAAAAAGTGCCTGTAGATGTGCTGGGAAGCTGCTTTGACACTGTAATTACAGTGCTTCAGAGCAGACTTGATTAATTGAGTCTGCTGTAGTATGCCAATTAACATGCATCAGCCAGCCTCTGTCTCACATAGTGTCCCCACACTTCAAAATGGTGATGGGAGCTTGTTCGATGAGCTTTGGTTAAAGTGCCTGCACCACCATTTTGAAATGTTGGGATGCTGATACAGAAGATGCTCAGAGAGCCACTCTAATTCAAGCACCCACCCCCAACTCCCAGAGCTTGTGTAAGAACACCCTTAGACTAGTGCAAAATATAGAAGAAGATATTTTCTCTTATTGGCAGTTACAAACAAGCTCAATTGAACCCATAAGAACTTGACAGTTTTCTAAAGGAGCGATACAAAATCTCTAGCCTATTAGGTGCTGATCTCTAGGTGCCTCTATAATACATGTTGTAGCACCACACAGGTTGCAACAAATCCATCTAGTCACCAGTCATTAAGAACCCCAACACTTCTTTCCCTGACCCCAACTTCTGTCCCAACTGTCTTTAATTTGAGGGTCCATTTTTGAGCTGCTGCTTTAAAACACTTGGTCAACTTTGATACAGTAGTATGTGGTAGTTTGCTGCAGAAAAACTGTCATCTTAAATTTCTAAAAGGAATGGACAGTTCACCATGTCTGGGCAGGTCTCCTAATTAGTTGGCAGAACAGTTGACAGATTACTCCCAATATATAGAAAACAATTGTTCGTTAAAGCCAGTGCACAACTTTAAAGTTCTTGAGGCCATTTTAATCAATTCCATTGTCCAGCTGCACTTGAATGACTGCACAGGGCATCTCCTACAGCAGTGGTCCACAACCTTTTTTGTACCAGGACCCATTTGTAAAATGGCCAGTCCTGACCCAGTGCCTTACACTCCTGACCCACTGGCCCCTAACGCCAAGTCCAGCCCCCCAGCGTGTGGGGCCCCCAAGCAGCCCCTTGGTGGCTTTCGCTTGTAGGTTGATAGTGCCGGCCTGCATGTCCCACGTTTTTTTCCTTTAAAGGCAAATGAATTTTTAAAGAGTTTGTTGATTCATTTTTAAAAAGTTTGTCTGTGACCCTTTTATATATTCTTGTGAGCCACTTTTGGATCATGACCCACCAACTGAAAAATGCTGTCCTACAGTACATGAACTCTCTGCATGTTTATAGTGAGCCTGAACATTTACACCAAGTTTTAAAAAATTCCTTATGCCTCCTTAGTGAAAGAGGTGATCTCTAGCTACATGGGAAGGAGGTTATACTCCATTCTTTGGTTAGAATGCAACTTTTTAAAAAAAGCAGCAACAAAGTTTGTAGTTCACAACCTGTATGACAAAGAATCACAACAGGCATTCAGTATTAGATCAACTTTATTACATTATCAAAGTATGACAATAAAATATGCAAAATCTATTCAACTCATTCATACACCAAGAGGCATATAAAATGCTGGGTATCACCAGATTATGATTCATACAAAATACTGTTAAGTGTAGAGCAGCAAAGTAATTGCCGAACATTCCCTGAATTCAAAACGGGCCTTGAACACACAGTGCTTCAAGAACTGTCTTAATACTAAACTTCTTCCCTTTGGCCTGCAAATCCTTTGCAATTATTGCTTGATATTGAAATCTTCTGCTCCTAGCAGAATCACATAGTGACCCTGAACCCTTGCAGAAGTATTACAATAGCTGAAGTCCCTCCAGCAATTTCTCTCTATATATTTTTCAAAAATAAGTAATATATTTGGTCCTCAAAATTATTTTTGGTTTCTAAACGCATCCTAAAAACTAGGCAAAAAGGGACATGTTGACAAGTTGTAAGTAAATAGATATAAAATGGAAGGAATTTGTGCAAAATGATACACTTCAAATGCAGGGTGTGGCAAAGTACCCAAGGTACTCCTTTTCTCTTCTAGCGTCATATGAACCCCTTCCCAGCAATATTTAACATTTCTTCTGACCTTCTCTGCAAGATCCTACAATGGTTGTGTAACTTTAGACTATTACGGTGATACTAAAATACTTAGTTTTGCCCTGTAATGTAGAGAGATAAATGATAATGAAAATTTCCTTCTGTGCACACCATTCAACTTGCTCTACATTTTGAAGCATGTACACCAGGTATTTTAAAGTTTAGACTGATGACATTTCTCTCTCAAGATGCAGGATAGGCAGAAAAGAAGTCTTAAAAAGGTTTGATGGAAAAGAAGAAGTCATTCCATCTTATATCCTCCAACCTGTAACCTTCCCAATCAGTTAATTAGCAGGCCTGTGCATATCTTAGCATGTTAGTGATGAGAACTCAAATGAAATCTAAGCAGAGCAACTCTGCTCAGGAAAGCCCAGATTCAACCTGACAGATTACAAGTCTACTAGGTGTGGAGAGTTGTCAATTCCACCTTGCAATGAGTTAAAAAGCAGCTAAGCAGACTTACTTAGAAAAGGAGGTGACTCTAGAAGGCCCATCAGCTAATGGAAAACTAAGAGTAAACATGGACTAAGTTGCTTGCATTAAGAGCAAGGTGCAAGTAGGGGTCTACCCAGCTCAAGAAGACAGATGGCCAATTTCATGGACAGATCACAGGGCTGGCTGCCATTTTCATCAGCTTATCCTGGTGTCCCCTCACATCTTTGATTGGTCATGGGGCCCCAGTGACTCCACCCTCCACTGCTGATTGGTGGAGAGGGCTATCCATTGTGTAGCCTCATCCCTCATCAAATCAGCAGCAAGGAGCAGGGGTGGCAGCCATCTTGCCTTTGTACTGGCAGCCCCTTTCAGGCTGAGCTGCATGGCCTGGAGGACTCCAGGCAAAAACTTAGCTAGTTTTTTTGGGAAGCCTGCCCTGTCCCCTAACATGGGTTTCACAGATTGCCTGACTTCACAGTTTCTGCAAAATCCATGCAAATCATGATTTGAATAGGTCCCTAGGTATAAGATATTAATCAACTGAAAAATACAGGACTGATTTTTATCCCCAAAAGGAAGAAAGTGTGTTGGAGTGACCAAATTCTAACAAAAATAATGCAGGCAGCTCTTTTGGAACCATCAGTTTCTTTTCAAGTCTAAAAAGGACCAAAGCTAAGCTCTTCCTATAAAATTGTTAGAACTTCATAAAACTAAAATGCATGAGCAGCCAAACAGATCCATAGAAAAGGAAACATTCTTCAGACCAGGTAAAGTTATTAATCTAGATTCTTTCCACATTCCTCTGATATCCCTATTGGGTACACCCAGACAGTTACAGATATTTAATGTATGATTGGTCTGCAATAATTCAGAATGGAGTTGATCACAGAAACAGCCTTTGAATAGAACTCTGGTTCTTAGCACACGCATCTGGGAAAACCTACACTACAGAGCCCTATTCCAAATACAGGCTTCAGCTATAAGAACTTCTCTGTGCCACATGGATTTAAATAAAAGCAAGCCACTGTGCACTAGCATAAAGGAGACAGAAGCAGAAAAGTTTGTGCCATTGAATTGCTGAGCTCTAGCTCCTGGATTGCCTATTACAAGTGACAGACATTAAGTTCTGCTGGGAATACTTGTCCTACTTCAGTTATAAGTCTAGAGGGTACAGAAGGAAGAGTAAGATTGTATTAAAAAGTCAGTGAATCCAGAAAGATTTTAAAACCTACCCATGACCAGTTAAGAAGTTTAAAAGTGATTAACCAATCCAGCACATCTACCCATCTCAAGCTTAACTTTCTGCAATAATAAGCACTTGAAACTGCTGTCATTTAAAGAAATCTTACTTGCATCTCTCAATGGTAGCAACCTCCATCCATGCCTGACTGAAAGTAGTTAAAGTTTACCTTTTAGACTATTGGAATCTCCTAAAATTATGAAGCAATTTTTTTGTTTGGTTTCCCCTGAAGAATTTCAGTCAAGAACTCTGAAGGTATCTTTTCCTGAAGAGCCAGGTACTGAAAGCACTCAGAATTCTTATCAAAAGCAAAGAAATGTGATCAAACTGGTGACTTGTTCTAACGCTTGTGCAGAAGAATCTCTCAGTAACACTTCCCAATCAAGTCTGTGAACCTTACACAATAGTCCACTTAAAGTCTTTGTATAACTGGGGAAGTGTAAATGTGAAATTATTTTCACACTATAAAGTTAATTTCTCAACCCTAATTAGGGCCAACTTGGTGCCACTACAGGAAGTATATCTACACTAAACTTCTTACCACTGAAATATGATTTTGATTCATATTAAAAGATTGTCAATGAACTGGAATCTGGATCTAAACAAAAGTATTTGGTTGGAAGCAAGTTACATACTTTACACTGTATTGCACTCAAGTTTATCCCAGCTCTACGAAATTTAGAGCTTTGCTTTGTTTTAAATAGTTGCCTGTTTATCTCCCACCTTTTGAGAAACAGTGGTAATTTTTCACATTGACACAAATTGTGCATCTTCTGCATTTGCCAGTATTCATTGTTTGAAGATGTTGATGTTTGCTCCATATGTGAATGGCTACAGGGATCCCCAAGTTTTAGGTTTTTCTAAAAAAGGAAAAAAGTAAAAGATTGCTAGCAGTCCTAGGGATCTAGATGCCAAGTCATCAAGGTCTCAGTGTAAAGGACAACTAAGTCTCTCCTGACTTTTGCAAATATACCCAATAAAGAATCATAAACATTAAACACACATCTCTTTTCCAGGAACAATATGAATGTTACAGAAAGGCTAGCTGTAACAAAAAAAAGCAACAAAGGAAAAAAAAAAAGCAGCATTTAACTCCAAGTCTGTAATACCTGCTGCTAGATCCCATTTGCAAGCTGAACTATTAAGATATCAGATCTTGGAGGAACACCGCTGCCCTCCCAATTCTTGACATCTTTCTTTTTTACTGCACAACTGACACTGAACAGTAAGCTATATTTCTCCCCCCCCCAACAAAGATTACACATAGGAAACAGCATAGGCTGTACATTCTGCACAAAAGGATTTCACATTCAAATGAATGTCTGTATGAACACTGGACACTTCCACTAAAGGCACCAAATCAAATGCACATGACAGCCTTCAAACTGTGAAACACCATGATGCATTTTGAACACTCATTCAAGAGAAGTGAGCATTAAGGACACCAAAACAGCTTTCTGAAAATGGCTTTGGGGAGAAGTATCCCAAAAAACAACAAATAAATAACCCAACTGCCTAAAACCTAGGGGATCAAAAGGCATTTTCCCTTATTTAAGGGAAGGCATCATGGGAAAGAGCCAACATACAGTGTCACAAACCAAAAAGCAGCCTTTTCACATAAGAAATAGTTGTAACATTTGACAGCATCTCAATATGCTCATTTCCAGACAGCTCAAACAACAGCACCTCCTCCTCTTGCATGCCCACCCACTTTTGACATTGTATGGCACTCTGCAAGTTCACTGTACCATCCCCATCACTGTACACAATCTTGGGCTCTTTGTCAGGGAACATATCATAATAGAATGAGTCAGGGGTTTCTACACCAGTGCCATAAAGACAATGGATGCGCACACCAGGTGGTATCATCTGGTAGACCAAGGGCTCAGTGTCTCGTCTCATAAGCCAGCCATCTTCAAAGTTGATGTCCTTATAGAATTTTTGGTAATCCTGGATAGTGTAGTTAGCAGTGGGTGTGCTTACAAAGATCTTGTCTGGAGGCCATGTGTAGTTGTAAGGGAGCATCCAATTGGTTGAAACTGCAGATCTTTGCTGGTCTCTGATCTTAAGTGGACTGATGACAGGTATCCTGTTGTTGTCACCTGTAAAAAAGGTAAAGTTTGTCTCGTTACAGATTGTGTTTTATCTGTGTTACTGAGAATTATTTTTTATTACCACTCAGACATATGGAATGCATGAAGAACTTGCTTTCCTTGCTCAAAAGATAAAGTTTGATGAAGGTGCATCATTAGTGAGAAACAGCCTTTTAATGTTTTAAGAAATAAACCATACAAATTCCAATAAACACTGATACTAAATAAAAAAGGAACAAGTTGGACAAATGACAGATAAAACAAAATATCTGACCGAGATGTTCTAAGATCACCCCTCTGATAGCCCTTTTTAAAAGGGCCCCATCTCCTACTTCACAAAATTCGGAAGTTAAATGTTTGCAAGACAGCATTCATTAGGCACTCTCCTAAACAACTGCGAACAGCTTGAAATGCCATCTTGAAAAATCTTATGTGTATTTGCAGCGACTCACAGGGACATACCCTCTCTCAATCTTTGAGGCAGGAGTAAATTAACATCAGCCTCCCTGTTTGTGTGTGTAGAATATGAGAGAGAAATTACAGAATTAATAATGTTTGGCTTTCCTAGTTCAATAAGCTATTTTACATTTTCCACTAAAAACCATTTAAGAGACAGCACTTTGCTTGGAAAAAACAGAACAGATTACAACGTGGTTTTTGTATCCTTTAGGGTAAAGTAAGATGTAGCTTCATTACTTGTTTTCCTGCCTGCGTAAGAATAGTTACTGGAAGAAATCCTACAAACAGCTCTCACAAAAAGTCTGAAACCTGAGAGTAGTAAGGAAAGCCCACTTATGATAGTGGTATTTTCCATGTATATTACACACAAAAAAAAAAATAAATATATTGATCAAACACACACACACACACACACACACACACACACACGACCCAGATAGATAAAATTAGATCTTGTCAGCCAAGTCTGATGATATCTCCAGTACAATAGGAGAACATCATATTGATGATGAATATTAATGAAGGGCAACTATTAGCCTTCCTTACCACCAGCTGTGTCTGTGGGAGACATTTTGCCTAAAACAAGGCTACAGGCCAGAGTATGCACTTCAGTGGGCTGGCTGTGAGATCTGGAAAGGCAGGAGCCCTGGATTCCAGCTGGGGCCTTTGTTCCTAGTGAAAGAGGTGCATCCCTTTCCAAGGACAATGTTAGCAACTTCAAAAGGAGCACCAAAGGAGGAACTGGATAATGGCAAGCCTGTGGCATGGTGCATTAGTGCTGAACTGGAAAATGAAGAGAAACCATGGTTCAAAGTCCCCTTGGGGGAGGGATGACTAGAATCCCGAACATCCAGAATCCCAGTGTGTGCTAATTAAAAAGTCATGAGGGCAAGAGGGCCTCCCTCCCTTTTCTGTTCCTGAGAGGCGAGTGTACCCAGCCACTACTATGCACATCCACTCTGCATGACTCCATGGCCATAGAGAATCATCCACTTGTACAGGGGTATGTGCCCAGGTAAAGAATACCAACTTGTACCCAAGTGCCATTTTGGCAGACAGACCATCAAAAAAAAAAAAAAAAAAAAAAAGCCATGTGGACAACTAGATCTGGACTACTAGGTGACCACTTCAAGTAGGGAACAAAATATCATCCCAATAGACTGAAAAGTTTATCCAGTTCTTGAGATGCAGCCATAGCAATATTTAATTAATATAGGAGTAGCTGCATTTTTAATCCAGGAGGTGGCACTGTTAAAACAGAGGCAGAGCCATAGCACACCATCTCCAATACCATTCTTCAAAACGTTAACATTTTCATGCAACTGCAGCTAGTGGTCATACTGCCCAAATCTGATTAACAAAGGAAGCTTGAAGAGGGAATGAAAAAACAGTAAGCACCAAGTCCTAAAAGGCAGAAGAGAAGGCAGGTTGGCACCTGAAACTAAGGTTCAGAGAGGCCTCTACCAGCTAGCATCTGACAAAGCAGACTGTCATCTATGAGAGCCTTTGCATCTCTGAACCAGTTCACCTCTAAAAAAAACAAAAAAGTCACCACCCTGCCCTACCAGATGCCTTGCTTCAAACTAGCACGTCTGACTCTCTCTCTCTATTTATGAGAGTCCTGAAGATAACCTCAGAGCCCTATCCAGGCATTTTGGCACCCAGGGCAGGTCATGTGCATATAACATTACTTCCATTTGATCTGGCATCCTCCATGTGAGTGTGCCCAATAAGTGCACCACTGGCACTGGTCTTCCTATGGTACTGGATATATTTTTTATTGCTTTCCCGGGGGAGGAGATGGTTCATGTATGACCCTAAAAAAAAAAAAAAGAAATCAAAGCAGTTCCTTGTTTTACTGTTTTAAAAAGGTAGCACCTGCAGTTGAGCCTTTTCTTCCTTTTAACTTATGGTCTAATATAAAACGTCTAACCCAGCTTAAGTCATATTAAGCACCAACCACAAGGTGCTGAAACAAACCTGAGCTGCAGAATCCAACTGTGAAAGGTTGTGTATGGAATGGTTTCAGATACTGGGATCCATATTCTGTGAAATGTCATTAGTTTTTTCACTCTAGGAAGAGCTTGTAGTACCAACTATTATTAAAAATTGTCCGAAGTTATCTTTGGCAAACTTAAACCACATTCAACACAGACTGAGAGGTCTCTCTGTGAGAAACATTCAACAAAAAAAAGTTTTGACCATTTGGGTAAAAAAAAAAAAAAAAGTAGGGGGAAAAAAAAAACAGGCTTCCTTGATGTTAAAAAGGTGATTGCAATCTTTTCTTTAAGCAACTATTAAACACTTGTGTTTTGGAAAAGAGAACTTGAAATTTAGTAGGGGGCTGCTTTTGTGCATCAAGGCTCTATTACCCCCCCAGCCCATCCTGAGAGAAAATCCTCCCAAGTTTGCCTACCTCAAACTTCAAAAGAAAAAAGTAAAACCAAAAAAACCCCAGGGGCCTGTCCTTCCTGCACTGTTAGTAACTACTTGGTGCTCTGTCATTAGACTAAGCCATCATGGAAGTGGCCTGATTCAAAATGAAGAAACAACATGAGCTAGAGGGATTTCATAGATATCATAGACATTAGGGATG